GGTGGCACGGTCTTCGGTATCAGTGGACCAGTTTCTATGCTTTACTGTACTGTTTAGGACCCCCTGTTTCTCGCATCTTATTGCAGAAATCGCCAGTTAACACTGAGAAATTTCTACCCTGTTGTCCTAGCTTTAGTATTTCTAAATATACATAGCGTTACTTAGCGAGAGAGTGTATTCCTTCGCTGTTGTAGATTTTCCGTGGTCTTGGCATTGTGTACATTTCACACACTACGCGGAGGCAAATCCAGGGGTCGTTTCGTAGAAAAAGAGGTGCAGGAGCTCATTAGCATAACTCATTAGCATAACTTATTGGCATATGCCACACCCCCTGACATCGCTGGAAGTGTGTAAGAAGGCAACACCCACGGAGGCTCCACTGGGCTATTTTGGATTGCTAGCTATTGGGGGGGGGGCGTGCAGATCTGTCCTCACAGAGGAGGGAGAGCTTGTACCCGAATAAAACTTGGTCTTATAGGTGCCACTGAACTGTTTTGGATTACTAGCTATGGGGGGAGGGGAACACGCAGATCTGCGCTCATGGAGGAGGGAGAGCTTGTACCTGAAGGCAGGATGGGGGGGGGGCTCTGCAACTTACCTGGCTGCTTCTTGCTCCTCGTGGCCCGACTGAGGGCTGCTGGGAGCAGGGGGCAGGGCTTGTTGCATGTGTCCACCCCCTGGGCTCCTTACTGCCGGAGCTCCGCTCCTGTGTGCTCCCGCAGGAAATGACCCCTGAAATCAAAATGAGCCTCCCCATAGCCTCTTCCACTCCCTCCTGGCATCGTGATTGACTTGCCAAGTTGTGACTGACTTGAGATCGACTCGTGATGACCTAGTTTCGCATCCCAGTTCACAGTTGGAGAACCAGCGTGGTATACAAAGACAAATCCCTCGCCTGTAAAAAGCTAGCAGAAGGAGCCTTCCTTCCCTGCCTCGTGAACATGGTGACTTTTACGTATGGAGGGACAGGGAATCTAGCCAGCATCAGTTTGCCCAGAGGTGGGACAGCTGTCAGGGGCCAGGACTTCTGGTGGGGGCTATTGCTGCTGCCCCCCCTACCCGCACACCTCCCCTGCTACACGTCTGTACCTGCACTCCCAACCAGGGCTTTTTTTTGTAGAAAAAGCCCAGCAGGAACTCATTCGCATAATAGGCCACACCCAGCAGCAGAAACACATTAGCATATTAGGCCACACCCCCTGATAGTGCAGCTCATTAGCATATTAGGCCACACCCCATGGCTTGCCCAGGCAAGCCGGCCATTGGACAGGCCAGGGAAGGCACGGGGAGGCATTTAAATGCCTCCCCAATCCTTCCAGGGGGCCCCTGGCCCGCCCACCACGGAGTCGCCCGGGGGGGGGTGTCCAGGCCTTCCCTCTGTAGCCACGCATGCAGAGGTTTTGGCTGTAGTGGGTGTGGCCAACTCTGAAGCCAGCCGGAACTCCATTCCTGTGCGTTCCTGCCCCAAAATAGCCCTGCTTCCAACTGTCCAGTGTCATTCAGGAAGGGCATGTGGGTGGTGAAAATTGGACCAAGGTCTGCCCTATCTCAGG